GACCTTATATTCGAATATGAGACTCTGGAAAAACCTCTTTGCCACAAACTCCGAAATCCACGTTATATCTATTATATCCCAAATCCCAGTCTTGTGAACAGCTGGCTCTCCGATATTGCTAAGGAAAAGAAAACTAACAATAGATGTCATTTCGACGAAGAAGATAATTATTTTGATTCGGAATTTGATAACAAGTCACCTAATTCGGAACCTAAATATGACACGTATATCGAGTTTTTTGATGAAGAAGATAAATCCTCAAAATCATCTCTTCCTTCACTTAGCATAACGGGACCTCGAGAAATTATACGTTCATCTTCACCATATCTAAATATTTATAATGGAGATGTAAATACTTTAGCAGGAAGCGTTGCCGAAGCAACTGATCTGAAATACGATGGATGTCTTGATGGAGAGAAGTCTTCACATGAAAGAATAATACATAATATGGAAGATGGAATTGTTCAGAGACTTAATGCTATCGAATATGGATTTGCGGAGAGACTAAGTAATTTAGAAAATTTGCTTTTGTCTCTGAAAAAGGCCTAGTGAATTGTTTTCATTTGCTTTTCGGGTATCGTTTGTAATTACTACAGAACTCTAATAAATATTTACTCTATTTTACGAAAGATTTTATACTATTGTCATTCAACAATGAATTTTAATGTGATTTGTATAAATTCTTTAAAATTATTACAATGATTTAATATACAACATACGGTAGCTTGATTTAAAAGTTTGAAGAAATATAAAAAATAACTTTATTGTAATATGCAAAAAATGCCTATGTTATAATTAGGGATGTTATCATACTAAGCAGTTCTGCTTAAGCTCCCCTTATATGTGTGCTTTATGCTTAAGCATGCTTGAGCATAATAATGCTTTTTTTATTATATACAGTGTTGTTGTCACCGGCGAGTCTGTCGCTAAAACGGCTCACTCTTCGCGCGACAATAATCCGAACGTTTGGATTTCGGCACTAAATAAGGTAAGGCTTTTAACTCTGAGGCGGTTACAATTTAACCGACTTTCGCACTAGCTAATCTCTTCTTGACCGTCGTTCTCTCTAGGCACGTCTCAAGACTACAAGTGGCACTCTTTACGGTGAAAAAGGCAACTCAGATTCTTCTCTTAAAGGTTACTTTACTTTACTAGAGTGGCGTAGATTTAGTTTATACTTTAGGGAATGTATATCGTTTATTATGCAAAACAAAGTAGTGCTCTAAGACGAAACTCTAAAGCTCGGATCTAGAACCTTCCTTCCCAAAGCTACATAAACTATCCTATTTATGTATATGCCTTCTTGACACATCCCTACTCAGTACGTGCTACTGTATTACCAATTATTACATCATTGCTATTGATACGATTACTACGTGACGCGCGTTACCATCCCTATTGTTCCCACAACAGTATGGAACAAAAATAATGGTATATTTTTTGCTTATTATATAATAAATATTTATTTAAACCAATTAAAAATTTAAATATAAATTGTTTTAGACTAATAAAATAATTTTCATAAAAAATTTTATTTATTTAATTTTTTAATATAATTTTATACTGATTTTGCTTTTAATACAAAGATTTTAAAATATTATAAAAATTATTTTCCTTATATAATTACAAATATATATGTTTGCCAAAGTTATTTATATCAATTAATTTATAATTTATTAAAATAACTTTATTAAAAATATAAATAAACAATATATTAAAGACATGTTATGTATATATACTTTAATAAAAAGGCAAGAATCTGAATATAAGCACTAAAGGATTCATAAAGCAATGGCAAAATAGCAAATAAATTAGCATAAAGAATAAACAGAATATGGCTCAGGACAGAAGATGAAAAAACAATAGATCAAAAAAAATATGAACAAGCTTATTACTATTAAAAATTATAAACTTTTATATCAGTCAATAGAATTATAACATCAGAACATTTAGATACAAACTGCTTAGTGAAGAATTTTCTATCAAGGATAAAATTTATTAAGTAAGATATTTCTTGTAATCTTTAGTAATTGAGTAAAAATATTAAATAATTAATATTTAGATTGTGAAATATATTTCTATGCATGTTAACCTATCATCAAATAAATATATTTTGAAAAAAAACCTTTTTAAGAAAGGAAAACAAAAGAAAGTATCTATATTTGAAGGGTTAATGCCTTTTTAATAATTTATTCTATCATAAAAAAACATTAATAGATTTTCAGAAAAAGATTGAATAACAATATTAGTATTATTATTTAATTATGGATTAGAAATTTTGTTTGCTAGTAGGATTTTACTTTTTGTTTTGTTGTTTTTTGTATACAACTGTTTGTTTTTTTTATGTTTATCTACTCAAAAAATGTTATATATTTCTTTTTTTTTATTCATGTTTTTGTTTTAAAGAATCCATATTTCCTAATATATTAAGTTAAGAAGATTGTTTTGAAGTTTATTTAAAAATTTTAGGTCTTTTATAATGGTTTAAGATTTATAAAAAAGGAATTAATATTTGTGAGACCAAAAACCAAGTTTATACAAATAATTGATAAGTTAATAAGCTGTTAAAAGAAGTTTAAGTTAAAGTTTTGTTGTTTTTAAACAAAAAAATAGCTTATGCATTGGTATTTTTGATTATTTAGATTATAGCCAAGTTTTTTCTGTACAGAGCCAAATGTAATGTATAGTTTCTAGATCAATATTATATTAAAGACAAAAATTATTGATATAAAAGTAAGTAAAATAGAATATAAATAAAATTTGATTGGCAATATGTTAGAGAAAATTTTGAATCAAAAGTTATAAAGCTTAGATTAGAATTTAATAGTTGATAAATGAGATTTTTTAAGCAAAGTAAGTATATGTTGCAAAAGAAAAAAGTCAGATTTGAAGGTGGTTTTCACTCTTTCGGAATAAATTATATTGATTAATCTAATTGTTTTATTTATTTTTGTATAAAAAAAAGTGAATTATTTTGTGAGTTTAATAAAGTATATAATAAAGAAAATATATTAGTTATATAATATAAAATTGGAGTTTTTTCATTGCTAAGGTAGGTTTGTAGAAAGAACAAGAAATTTGTAAAATTTGAATAATATTGTTAATATTGTTAATAATAATAGTATAAAGTAGTTTGCATTTTTTCTGATAGTTAAAAAGTAATGAAAGTAAGAGTTTGTTAAATATTTTTGTGTTTGCAAAAGATTGTTATTTGTCTTATTTTGTTAATAAGAAGAATAAGTATTAAAGAGAGATAAAGAGATAGAAGAAAAGCTTTAACAAAACATCTGAGCTCAAAGAAGACTACCAAAAGAAATATGAGAAATTGATAACCGATTTCATTGAATATACAAAGAAAAGCACAAAGTTACAGAACTTAACAGAGAAGTCCACTCCAAAAACAAACTTTTATTAAGTGCCAGTTTTTTTATAGCATATCTAAAATACATCAACATATTCAATTTCAATCTATATCTCCTTGCACAAATTATAGAATATAAATGCAACTACCTCTATCGTTCCAAAGAAAGCAGCAAACTAGACTATCCCAACCTCCTTTAGAAAAGCAAAAAAATGTTTCGAGACAACTTTCTAGAACTTCTCCTGTCCTTTGACCTAATACTAGCACAAATAAAGGTCAAAATTTTTCATAGAATTTCTATAATTGACAAGAGCACCACTGCAAGTGTCGCAGGTTCTTTCTATTCTTTATACAAATTTGACTTTCTATCAAATACATATTTCATCACACTCCCAGATTTTTCCAATTATTCCAAAGATCTCCCTAAAGAAATCTTACATCTATTCTCAATTAAAAAGAGAAAAGATTTTAGGAACTTGGGAAATATAATTAGAGAACTCAAGAGATTCTTTCTTGTTCCTCCCAAAATTCTACTAACTTATTTTGACCTTTTACTTTCCAAAAATCCACTTCTCTCTTCTCCTGACATGTTGAATCCAGAATTCTCTTCTCTTTTCCCATTCGACACATATAAAAACAACATTAGAGAAGTTGTTCAGAAACTTAGAACCAAATACTTCTTTGAATACCTCTCTCCCAATTTCTTTAAATCCAAGAACCTCTTCCAACCTTCCCATCTATTATTAATGAATATCGAGCTAAATTGGATATTCAAATCTCCATTACAAACTCTCATAACATCCAGTTTCTGATCAGAATACAAATTTTTTTTTCTTCTAGGATCTTATTGGATATCCTTAGAAATTGCCCAGACCAATAAATCAAGACTTCTGCGACAATTAAAGAATGTTTTCTTAGAATTTAATATTGGACAACTCTCTCACAGTAATGATCATCTGAAAGAGAAAATTAGGGTCCTACACAATCACTATGAATTTCTAAGGATTCCTGAAGATTGGTTCATCAATCCAGGAGTTCCATTATTAGAAGACCCTATTGAAATCAACAAAATCTTAGCAGATAAGAGTCTAATGACTTTAAAATTCCTACTAATCAATAATGATACCTTATCAACAACCATTTATCAGCTTTATCAAACATTCTTCTTCAATAGACTCCCTGACTTCCTTATAATCAAAGAGATGCTTCCTAAACTGGTGTTTGATCTCATTATTTTCTTAGGTTAATTGTTATAAGTAATAATCTCAACACAAATACCATGTTTATTAATTCTATTTCATTAAACTCTCAACACATATTATCTAACTATAACCTAACAACTCCATTATATGAAACTCATATTCAAACACCTTTAAGTCAGTTTAACCAAAACAATATATCCCATCATAATCTCAACAACATGAATAATATCAAAAGTCTAATTATTTTTATCACAATTAATACTAGAGGTCTCAATAATTCAATCAAACTTAGAACTCTAGCCAATACGGTGAACAGTAGATCTATCCTAATATGTACTGAAACCAAACTTAAGAAAGAAAACTTTCATCCAAAAAACATTAATAGAAGAGCCATTATTTATGGCAAATCCAACCTAACGAAGAATGGCACCATGCTGATCATTGGCAAAGATCTCTCATTACACATGTTTGAAATCTGTGACACCTCTGAATACTGCTTATCAATTATCTTGAAGTTTAAAGGAAAAGTAAATATACTTCTTACAGTAATATACCTCCTACATGAGAGAAAAGAAAGAAACCTGGCTCTTATCCAGTTACATCAAACAATCAAACTTGCCTTCTATTACAAACTACACTACCTAATTCTAGGAGACTTCAACTCTTATTCCAAAAATAGTTTATTGATTGATACCAAAATCTCTCTATATAAATAACTGGTATACAAGCATCTAAACAATTACATTGACATTGGGCAACAATACGATGACAAAGCTTTTATTCATTTTACTTTAACTAGTGCCTAATGTATATATCAAATCTGGGCCTCATGAAATTTTGCCCAAAATAATCTGGTATGATGTACAAGAGATTAATACCATCCCAACTGATCACCGAGCTGTCTCAATAAAATTTGATTACTTTGAATTCATAAAAACTAAATCCACCTTCAAATTCAACCTTAACAAAACTCCAAAAGAAAACAT